AGGACTTTTTACTAGGGCTTGTAGTGACAGGACGAGGGGGAATGGCTATAAATTGGAAGAGGGCACGTTTAGATTAAACATTAGGAAGAAGTTTTTCACTTTATGGGTGGTAAGGCACTGGAACAGGTTGCCCAGAGAGGTTGTTGAGGCCCCGTCCCTGGAGGTGTTCAAGGCCAGGCTGGACGTGGCCTTGGGCAACCTGGGCTGGTGGGAGGTGTCCCTGCCCATGGCCGGGGGGTTGGAACTCAATGATCTTCAAGGTCCTTTCCAACCTGAATCATTCTATGATTCTATGAATTTACTAGGTGGATTTGTTGAAATTCTTCTAGTAGACTATTTAAAATCAGAGCCCTTCTACGCAGGTTAACATTCAAAATTTATCACTGGCTTCTAAGGAGAACATACGGTTGTTTCACCTTGTTTGACAAAACCAGCTATCACTAGTTGTTCACACTAAGACAATTATCAATGAGTGCCACTTAATCATATAAAGACTTTGCTCCATGAAGAGCTTATAGTAAATAGCATCACAGTAAATTTCTTTTCTTTTTTTTTTTTTTTTTTAAGTTTTCCATCACTATTATTCACTTAAATGCCTTAAAAAGTAACAAACATTTCAAGTACTCAATGACACTAAAAATATTGAGACCAGCTGACTTTCACATGTACCCACAGACCAATGAATACCTCATCATCAGCCTGTTGAAGCCTTGCGACGGCATAGCGCCGAACTGTTGGGTTGGTGAAGTGAGATGACAAAAGCTCTAGAGAGTCTTCCACATCCATGGGCTTCCACTTGCCCAATAGCTCCAGTGCTTGCTTTGCCTCTTGTGGTAGGTCCCAGTTGACACATTTTAAGAATTTTGTCAAGGCCTAAATAGAAAGAGATTGGACAAGTCATCAGTGAAAAGCCAGGCTAAACAAATCATTTCAGAAATCAAAGTTTCACATTAAGGTAGAACTAGATTCAGACTATATTTACATAAGCACAGGCCGAAGGAGCCTTACTGATGTAAACAACAACATGATATTGGATAGTTTTAATATGTCCTAAAAAACTGCAGCTGGGTTATCTTTTAAGTAAAAGGTAAAGTCAATGGTTACTGTTCTACCACGATTACCACTACATAAAAAATGCCCCCTGCTGGATGATTATTTATTTATTTAATTCCTTTGGGCTTTTGGTGTGCTAATACTTATTCTGGTAACGCTAACCCTTGTCTAAAAGGGGATGAAGGAAGTCCTCTCTAATAATTTTTCTTTGCTGAAGACAAAATTGACAATATTGGTACTTTAAGCTGACAGTCAGTGTTTGTAGAAAGACTGATATAGTAATAGTCAGTTCATATGATATAAGGGGGAAAATTACAGTCACCAATTTTTAAGTCAGTAACATTGTAGAAAAAGCAAAAATAATCTTTACTAGCTTCTAAGACACTGAAGCTCTGTATGTCTGCAAAGACACAACATTGCAGAGTGAGTGCCAGATGAAGCACCTCTTGCATTAATAAGTCCTCTCAAATCAGTCAACTTACCTTCTCCTGATTAGTAAGGTAATATCTGAATTTCCAAACTAGATCCTGTTCCTCATACGTTAGCTGCTTTGTCGGTGGATAACTCACTATGATCTATTAGATACATAGTCAGAAAGTGAGGTTAAAAACATGAACAGGCATAATCAACCAGTTAACAGACTACACTGTGACAAAGCACCACACTGACAACACTTAAAAATAGCTAGGGGAAAAAAAACAACAACTTTCCAACAACACAAAGTTCTCATGCTATCATGGTGATGCTCCTCAATTAAGTGGTTAATAGAACCGGCAGTGAGGCAATATACAGTTACTTTAAGACTGCCATTAACACCTACATGACAAGTGCACAATATGCATTCTTATCCCCCCAAAACTGTTTTACAAAAGAATAAGCAAGTACCTTCTGCTTCTTTCTGAGTGAGACCCATCAAACTAAGCACTTGTAAGAAGCACTTAACGACAATTCTTCACTAATGACTTTCTTTAAACTGAAATGAACTGTATTTTCCTTAAAGTGTCACCATACATTAATACCAATCTACCTAACACAATTGAATGTAGTGATCACGTGACTGACTTACATTAAGCTGATCTCGTGTAGCTGCATTAGGCTTCAGATCATGATCAGAAGGTCCACTTCTTAAACTTCGAGCAAGTTTGTGATGTTTGCTTTCTACTAAGTTCTCCTAAACGCAGAGGGTAAGTCAGTATTTATAAATATTTAAACTCCAGAGAAAATTACTATTGAAATGAAACCACCTAGCAAAGACTCACCAGTATCTTGAATAACGCATGACAACTAAAATTCACATCTAAAACTAGAGTCTTCCAGATTTTTTTTGTTGTTGTTTTAGAAGAAACTCCTTCAATAATATGTGGAGGGTTGTTGGGGATTTTGAGTTTTTGTCTCCTTTTTTTACTTCACACAGTTTACAAACCCTACCTTGCCTTTTGGTGAATTGCTGCAAAACGCAAGCGAGTCAACACATCTGTGATTTAGACAGCACTCAAACGTGCTAGCCACTTTATAAACACTTTTTAGGACGTTTGCAGTATAAAGCTTTGTATGCAAGAAAAACTTCTCAAAAAGTTTTCCCACTGTTAATACCATGTTAGCAACAGTAGGAGCCACAATAGGAGCCACAGTGCCAACGAGATTTCAGCAGCCAAGGCAGTTTTCAGCATTGTCAAGACTTGCTCTTGCAGTGTTAGATTACACAGTGCTCAAACAGTGTTGCCAGTAGAAGCCCACTTACATTAAGGTTCCCAAAGCTGCCAATACCTGTCCCACTGAATTGGCATCCACAATAATGGAAATCTTTTCTAGAACTGTACTTAGGCACTGTCTACATGAAAGACAACATACAAGAGAGTGTAGGGAGAAAATATTTTAACAGACAAAGTGACCAAGAGTTACTGTACCTTCCTCTACATTTCTTTTCTTCAGCTCCTTCTTACCTTACATTCCCACCCCCGATCTCTGTTGCCAATAATCCCCCTTATCTGTTTTCCTACACCTCAGAAGCAAGCACATTAGGTATGGAAAGGAGGAGATGAACATAAGCATTAAATCAATTCTTGTATTTTAATCTAGCAGCAGTAGGAAAAAAAAAAAATTACAAGTCAAACCCGCTGATATTTCTCAAGTGGTCAAATACATCTTTCCACTGGAATTTTAAAATACTGAAGGCAGCAACATAGGCGAACTTTCACTTCCATTTATGAAAACTTCAATAAAAGTACGATAATACAGATTGCACTGCATGGAATATGCTTACCATAGACATCTGGGGATCTGGAATCTTAACAATTTCAGAACTTGTTAAAATTGGAGATGACTCATCACCATCCTGAACGACAAAAGGTTAAAGGCATATTAAACATCTCAAGTTTTAGGAAAAGAAACATTTCATGTTAATGTATTGTGAATTATACCACAGTGAAAGAACGATGCAACTGCATCTTGCTGACATTTGACAGCTATAAAGGGGAAAACAGAAAATAAGAAATGGATGTTTTTTCTTGTTAGTTTTCACCAGATGATAAAGAAGGTGGCAAGATAGATGAAAGTTCATCCAAGGAGACACAAATTGGCAACCCACTACCATGCTGGTACACAGGTGAGCGGAGAAATTTGCCATTATCATTACACATGTCCTCTGGAAGCGCAAAGAGAAACCAAATCAGGGTCCACATTGTCACCAAAAATGTGTAATTTCCTAGAAATAACAACCATGTTGCAGAAAATACTTCCTAACAGTTCAACAAAGACGGATTTAAGAAGATATATGTGTGCCTATCTATGAAGCATGCCAGTCTCTTCTAGAAGTTTATGCTATGCTGCTCTGGAGCAGTAGCACAGGAGCCTGCTAGTTTTCCTTAGGGGAGTCCTAAATAAGGGAAGGGAGAAGCTAAAAGTTTCCTGTTTGAAACAAGCAGAAGGAAAAATAAAAACGCCTGCTACCCCAGCAAAAACAGCAAATCTGTTTCCCTCTTCCAGTCACACCCAGCTGTCTGGTTTTGTTTTTTTTCACCTTAGAAGTGTAACTAAGGATTAACTGACACAATTTGCTAAAGAACATTTCATTTAAAAGACAGTATAAAACAGTAAAGAGAAAAAAACAACAAGACAACGCCAGCATAAAATTTACTATGCTATATTTATACTTAGTTTGCGTTCATTTATTTCAGAGTAAATTTCAGCTCAGAATAGGTTTTTTTGACATATCAACATTTCCCTCAATAATGTAAGTTTTGAGATTAATTGCTCAGGTTTGCTTCTGCCTCCGCTCTCTTTTTTTTTTTTTTTTAACTCCTGCTTTTCCAACCCCATATGCCTCTTAGCATAGCTTTGCTTCTATACTTTTCGGAGTTTCTTCTTTAAAAGAAGTGAGTGGCTTGTATCAAGGAGAAGAAAAGAATCATTCGTCACCAACTAGACACAGGAGTTAAAATTGCTATTAACCTTTCAGGAGAAACACTTTTTTCCAGCTACATGTATTTTGTGTTGCTGACTATAGTAAAAGAACTCTTATTATTAAAATGCATGACATTTTAATAATAAGACACTTCTATTACATTTATTAACATCCTATGCCTTTCTGAAGTACCAATTTTACAGTCAAAATAATGACAGTAACTACACACATATCCTTCCTAGTTAAAGGAAATATACATACAAGCTGGCTGTGGCTGATGAGGGTCCAGAATATGAGCAGGATTGCTTTTCTCATTAGTCTTTAAAAAAAAGCATGCATGCAAACACTGAGGAGAAAGAGGACATTCGCTTACAGTTTCTCTGTCTTAAAACCATACTGCCTAAATAACATACTTAGCTTTAACCTAATTGTATTGAAATAATTTTAAATCTAAAGCTTTCCTATTATAACAAAATACTACTGCATCAATATAACAGTAGACTGAACTGAGTAGGAGCCACACTGACAGATCAGCACCCGTATTGTACTAAAACCTCTGCCATCTCAGACAGAACTTTCAGATCATGTTCAACTAGTTTTACAAAGTCAAGTTACATTAAAAAAAAAAAAAAAAAAAATTAAATTGTTTTGAGCAGAAAATCCTTCTGGAAATAAACGTATTTGATGACAAGAGATGACAGACCAATTTTCATCTACTAACTTGTTATCTTCCTAATCAAAACCATAAAGCTGCAATCTGACTCAACCTTTATAAAAAAAAAAGGATTGCCAATGCCCCAGTGACAAACAAGTTTTTACTCTGTTTAGACCCTTCACGTAAAAGCGCTGTAGGAAAGACCTGACATAGGAGTGGATTCACTAGCAACTAATAAATGTTCAAACTCTTACTGAGGCATTTATAACATCCATATCCCATGTGGATTCTCTAGGGATAAGCAGTAATAACACCCATACTACTTCATCTTTCTCTCAGTGAAAACATTCACATAAAATAGCTATGAAAGGAAAGAGTCTGACAAAGCTTTCAGGCCGGTAAAAATGGAGCACCTACCCCATAATCAAAAGCCTATGTCAGCTATTACCAACTTAGAATTTACTAGGATGAGAATCACAAAAGCCTAAAATTTGCTTATTTACAAAACTAAAGTAAAAAATGGAGAAAATCTTCCAGTGACTAGGGTCAAAATGTTTATAACACCCTTTAAAACCAAGATTGGGGATTTTTTCCAGGACCAGTGATGCTGCTGATGTGTCTTTTTTTAACCTTTCGAATAAAATATTATAATGACTGTTCTTTAAATTCTGCTTTTCAAATGCAGTTAGATTATGCTGAAAAGCCACGCTAAAAAGCTCTAGTTATTCAGATCAAGCACTAGAAAAACTCGGTTCCCAGGGTTTCATTGCGTTTTAGAATAAAGCCTTAAGCTTCAACCAAAACTTGCTATGAAAGCAAGTTTTGCCAAGCATTTGTGGGACAGGTTACTGCATCAGGAGTTAACAACATTTTCAGAACAGGCTATTTTGTGAAATCCTTAAGAAGGCACAATGCCATTAGTTTGCTCATGAAGGACTCCAGTTGTTAATTGCCTTCCAATTAGATTAACCCATAGCTCTAACTCTCTCTCATATTTGGAGAGCATCACCTGGATCACTGTGACCCTGACCATACAAAATTACTAAACTATCCCAATGCCTGAGGTTCAACTCTAAATTTGGTCAGGTGAGTGCTTTTGAAGTGTCTCTCCTGATTATTCCCATGTAGTAAGTTTTGGTTCATATCATGGAGGCTTTAGAAACCCCTAAAATCTTTCAACTGCCAACAGTCATTCAGCCAACAGTCATTCAGCCCACAGGACTTGATTAAAGCCGGTCTTAAGTATAAGCACACAGCGCAGACATTGGGCCTTCAGCAACAACTTCTTCACTCTACAAATCTGCTCCTCTCGGCTGCATTACTTGCGAGCACAGCCAGAACCTGAGATGACCTGCTATTTTGCCACTGGGAAACAAAAGCAACATCAATACTAAACAGCAATTAACTTGCTTTAAATTATTATGTTACAGACCTTTAGAGGTATTTCACTACATTAAGGTCACTGCATGTGACCTTCCACAAATATTAGAGACCATTTAAGAAAGTCAACAAAATTTGCAGAATTTTCTGAAGCAGAAAGGTTCTTCTGCACTTTTCTGAAAATCAGTTTCACAACATCATTAAATAAGGAGGTTCTTGTTATCTTATTCTTTAGTCAAAACATCATTTCAAGCAAAAACAATGGGATCCAACTTCTCCCACACAGAAAGCCTATGGACACCCAATGCTGTAGACACTACTTTTTCTTTCAAGCCACAAAAAACGTTCTGATAATCAGATTTATTTATTATTTTTTTTAAAAAATGGATGCAGCAGTGTAATCAATTTATTTATTCAAACAAAGGTTTCACTTGAAACCTGCACGAACACACATTAATGATAAATGTTGGTGTTATTTGCACTTGGAAAGCCACACTGAATTTCTGCCTAAACGGAGAATGAGAAGTAATGCCCTTGTTACTAGCAGACTGCTATCCTTCATGTCTTGAATGCTGTATTAAAATTAAGTTAACAGAGAACATGGAAAGAACCACCACTACTTCACTTCATTGTAATTGAATGTTGAGTCAAAGCACCTCAAATTCTATCAGCCACTGTTTCACAGGCTAGTTCTTCGTAAACACTTGAAAACAAATTTATCAACAAAACTGTGACAAGTAATCTCCACTTCTACTATTGGTCACAGGCAGCTGACAACAGAACCTACTTTCATTAGACTCAATATACTGGATTGGTGATGCCAGATATGTATACTGTACACTGTAATTGGAAGCATGACAAAACTGAGAAGACAGGCACTAATTTATGTAGTTTCCTACTGCTGCCAGAAAAGGGTCAAGAACTTGTTGGAAAGCTACTTCGTAACAACAAAGCCCTCAAACTGCAGTTAGTTATAGCTTTAATATGTACTATTACACATTTGATTACTTTATATCCACAAGAGCAGCCAATTCATAGTTATTTTGTTCCATGCACTTTTAACATGCTTCAGAAGCCTCTGTTACAAGAGATAGATGCATGCTTGAAGCCTAAATCTTCTCTTCCTCACCTTGCACATCTATAAAACCACAATGACAAAAAACATGTGTGTAAATCAGGAATAATTAATCTACAATGGTAGGTTTCTGGAGGTGTGTGGTGGTGCAACCCCCCTCCCCCCCCCCCCCCCCCCCCCCCTTTAGGCCACTTGGAACTTGGCATGATTTCCTCCCCACCTGGGCCACATAACAATACAATGGACCAGAACATCACATTACTGTCTAACATGGAAGAAAGAAAAGCTGGAGAGTAATGGACCAGAACACTATGGCAACCTCTTAGGTGTGCCTGGCTCCCATGACGCCTACGATTTGAAAGTGACAACTATAATCGATCACTCCTGACAATACATGGATTGTGGCCAAAGAGGTGGGTGGATACCAGGACCCCCAGATCTAGCAAATTCTAGGCTTATGTAACCAGTGGGAAGTACCAGAATACCCTGTTGTCTAAGCTGGGCCAGAGTGGAAAAGTACCTGATAAAAAGTCAATTATCTTGGATCCTCTAAGTACCAATTCTAGCAAGACTCTCTGAGCTCTTCTGGATTGCACGAGGCTGTGGAGAGCACCTCCCCTGAGTTGGGATGCCGCTCAGGCTGCCACCTTGCAGACTAGAAGGCCAG